GAGAGATGACAACACAAATTTTTTCACCCAACAAGACTACGCCACATACCTAAAAGAGACCAAACAAGCGCAAGGGAAGAAGCTGCAGATAGAGGAGAACAAGAAGAGGATAGAAGAAGGACTACCACCTGGACCAAGAGTTACACTGACAACCAAAGACGGCCGGCGATTGCAGCGGTTCTCCGTGGTGACAATTAACGGGAAGGAGAAGCTAATTGTGCCGATTGACTCCGGAAACCCGCAAAAGATGGTGTTCTTCGTAACGATCGACGAATATTACGATCTTATCCTGGAAGTACACCTGGCGGAGGGGCACAAGGGCAGGAACGTTCTGATGCCCAAGCTCCAAGCTACATACAAGAACATCCCGAGGGAGGTAGTACAGCTGTTCCTGGACTTGTGCCCCACGTGCCTCCTGAAAAAGAAGACGAAGAAGAGGGGCCTGACGGTGAAGCCGATGGTATTCCACCAGATGAATGATCGCTGGCAAATAGATCTGGTGGATATGCAGAGCGCGGCAGACGGAGAGTTCCGGTGGATCTTCGTCTGCCAGGACCATCTGACCAAGTTCATACACCTGAGGGCCCTCACATCGAAGCGTGCCGTTGAAGTTGCGGAGCACCTGTTGGAGATCATGCTGGTGTTCGGGGCTCCGTCAATACTTCAATCAGACAACGGGCGCGAATTCGTGAATCAGATCATCGAAAGCCTCAAGGACACCTGGCCTGAACTTAAAATTGTCCACGGGAGCCCTCGTCACTCCCAGTCACAAGGGAGTGTCGAGCGAGCGAATCAAGATATCCAGGATATGCTGTCGGCCTGGATGCTGACTTATCGGACCAAGCAGTGGAGCAAGGGGCTGAAGTACGTGGCAAGCCAGAAGAACAGTGCTTTACACCAGGGCACTGGCAGGTCACCCTATGAGGCCGTGTTCGGCACCCCAATGAAGGTGGGGATAAGCAGCAGCCTGCCAAGTGCCCTGGTCCCTTACCTCACGACAGAGGAGGAGCTGCTCGAGTTCCTGGAGGGCATCGGGAGGGAGCCTTCAACGCCGCCGCGCGCCTCTCCGACTCGGCAAGGTAAACTAGTCAATTAATTTCCTACTGACTATACGGACCTACCAGGGCTCCATATTTGTGGTCTTTGTTGTAGAACCAAGCCCCAACAGCAGCCCCCGTCGTGTACCCCTTTTTCCGCCTTCGCCCGTAAGGACGCCCATAAGGACACCCGTGAGGCCGTCCATGGGGACACCCGCTTCCGTGATGAGGACACCCGCTTCCGCGACAACACCGGCACCGTTTGTCAGCGTGCCTGTCCCTCTACCCACTACCGACCTGAGGGTAGCTGCTGCTCGGGCTGTTCAAGCGACCCGAGCATCGAAAACACCAACCCGAACCTCCACCACTCCAACTGCGACGCCGGTGTCCGGGCTGCGCTTCAGGGGCTGGACGCAAGCACAGGAGCCAAGTACGTCGTCGTCTCCCAAGTGCACTGCCTGCGACAGGACATGCACGTTTCGGGAGACTTGCGTGTCCTGTGGCAGGCCCGTGCACTTTGGGTGCACGACGGCGGGATACTGCGCCCTGTGCAAGCGCTCCAGCAACATAGAAGAACACCAGCTAGAAGCGCGCCAGGGCCTCCTTAAGCAGGCAAAACGCATGACGAGAGCCACGGCACTGAACTTCCCTGGACCGAACCTAGGCGACACGGTGGCGGTGCCGATTGCAGACCCCGACCGAGCACGAGGCGATTCCCGCAATGTAATGGCCGTGGTCACAGAGGTGATGGACAATGGCCTTTACCGTGTGGGGAACGAGCATGGCGTACTCGGTCGGGCTCTGAGTCGGAACCAGTTCACCGTGTCGAAACACAGGTTCCTGGATGCAGCGAGTGTACCCCTTGACCGCCCGTTAACAACAAGATCGATAGCAACAACTTCAAGCATAACGGGTGGTCAAGGGTATACTCGCTGCAACTGCACAAAGGGGTGTGGCACGAAGCAGTGCGGCTGCTTTAGGGCCGGCCTTAAATGCAATTCTAAGTGTCATGGTAGCACTGGGTGCAAAAACAAATAAGTAACAATACGAAACAAAACATTAACAACATAACAACAAGCTGAAATAATAAATCCTCCATGCAACCCCTACTGCATTCCCTTTCCCACCCCCACCCCCTCAGTCGGTCATTGCCCGACGCCGGTCGGCCCATGTTGACCGCTCCTAACATTGCCCGGCAATATACAGGTCAATGTTAGTTGTAGTCAACATCGGCCGAAAAGCATCGGCCGATCCTAAGATGGACCGGTCCAGGT